TGGGCAACTTTAAGACTTGTGGACTTAAACTCCCAGAATTCCTCAGCTACATTGTGGCTGAGGAATTCTGGGAGTTTAAGTCCACAAGTCTTAAAGTTGCCCAGGTTGGAGACCCCTGCCCTGGAGATAATACCTCCGGGTTGGTTAATTCAGGCAGACCCCCCCCCTCCCGCCGACGGGCGCGACCTTCTTAAGCATCTCCTGCCCTTCCCCGCCTCTCACCCGTCCTGCAGCTGTGCCTGGCGCGCACAATCTGCACCGCTTGCTGGTTCTGGAAGCGGACCAGCGCCAGAGTGATGTCGGCGTTCCAGCTGGGGTCTTCCTGGGGGCAGCGAAAGTCGATCTCGGCGCCGTCGTCCGTCACCACCGTGAAGTAGATGTGTCGCTGCTTCCACTCCACGCACTCGACGGCTTTGACGTGCGCGAAGGGCAGCTCCTTGCAGCGCGTGGAGCCCCGGCTGCCGGCCTCGAAGAGCCGCAGCCCCTTCTCGCTGAGCAGGCAGCGCTTTTTCTTCCAGAGCTGCAGCAACCCGCCGCTGCGCTTCTCCAGCACCCCCTCCCGCAGCACCTTCTCCGACGCCGCCATGGGGGCAGCCAGCGACGCTCCGGCCGGGGGGCGTGCGGGGAAGCGCTGCTGCCCGTGGAAAACGGCCGCGCAGTCCGCCGGGTGAAGCGGCGTTTTCCTCTTCCTCCGGCTTTCCCCGGGAGAACGCGAAAGCCCGCCCTCTGCCGCGTGAGCCCCGGCCCGGCTCCCCGCGCCTCTCTGCTGGCGGGATTTGTCGCTACATGCCCGCTTGCTTGCGCCTGGCTCTTTCTGCTTCCCACTCGCATTCCTTTCCTGCTCAGCCAGAGCCTCGCCCCAGTTTTGCCTGCCAGACGGCGCTCACGCCCAAACGCGGGACTGCTCCGCTGGAAGCCTTGAGAGGTCCGGCCCGGCATGGAAGCCAGCTTGCCTGCCTGCCTGCCTGCCAAGCCTGCTTGCTGCGGAGGCGGGAAGAACCATTCGCGCGCCGACGGGCGTACGCGGCTCGGGCAAGCAGCGAGGAGGGTGCCTGAAGCCGCCGGCTGGAGGGATGCTTTCATTTCCCCCCAAAAGCAGCAGGCGCGCACGGATGCAAGGCACCGTTCGTAGCCGGCCAGAGTTTAACACGGATGTACTTGCCCGCATCCCCTGTAGTCCTGATCCTAGACGCCCCTCCCTTGGGCCGCTGTGGTCCAAACGACGTCTCCCATGCAGATGTGCTTAACTCATAGTTGGTAGCTGTTTCGGGAGGGGAAGGTTGGTAGTAGAAAAGTGGTGCTTAGCACATGTTTAAGAGAGGCAGGTTGAATTATGCAGAGAGGATTTGTGGAGGAGGGACACATGAGTAAAAATGATTGTCACCTGATTGTTTTGACTCATGCACAAGTCGGATGAGAACAGTTATTTTAGGAGCAGAATGGAAGTTCTCCTATCCAAAGGCGAAGTAATGTGAAAATGTAGACCTGTGAACCTTGACTTCTGCTGCATATCCTAGAAATTAAGTTGTATCCACATGGACATCGGCCCCTGTGTTCTCCTAGTCCAGCTTGCACAGCACAGCTTTGCTTTCCTGTGCAACTCCTCAGATGTTCTGTTAATGGTTTGCAGTGGCTGATACCAAGAGTAAATAAATGGTAGAAGACAAGGACAGAGGGTCACAATCCTCCGTGAGGCAAAACACCTGGCTTCTCTTTCCCTTTTGCAGAGGAGTTGCATCTTTCCCAGCTATTCATTTTCTGCTTCAAATTATAGTCTCCAATCATTCTTTTTTGGGGGGGGGGGGCTGGTACTCATATGTAGTCCCCCTAAGCTGCATACACCCACATGCAATTATGAGCATAAACTCAGCTGACTATTTAATCATGGCTTTAATTGTGCAGGTGTTTCATAATGCTGAGCTTAAAAACGCTGAGAATCTCCTGATAGGTTATTAGATAGCAAATGAAATAAATTGTCTCCAAGTTTATGGAGATTAGAAACGTGATATGCAGATTATTTTAAAGCAACTTGGAACATGAACACTCTTAACAGAGGAATGGAAACTGGGACAGAAATGTGGGAAACATGACTCATTTTTTTTATCTCAGTGTTGTACTTGCACTAAGTATCAAACCATTCAATCTATCTAGATACTTCTAACACAACTGAAGATTGCAATTTTATGTACATTTGCTTGAAAGAAAATTGCAGATTCCTATGGCAATCTATCTAAACCATATTTTTTAGGATTATACACATTTCAAAAACAATTCATGAGAAATACTTAGGACTGTGTCTGAGTACTTCCCTGTTAATCATTAGAAGAGCCCAATTGTTTAGGCCATGCCTCGGTGTGTTTTCTGAATTATTTATGAAGTGTGTGTAGGTCTAATACCACACTTTTAGAAGTAGCATTGGATAAATCGTTAATTCTATTACTGCTATTATTGACTTAGGTTTTAAGTATTGCTGGTTAAGCTCCTGCTGAATGATGTTTTAATAAACATGTGCTTCACAGTAGCAGCATGCTGTAATTATTCTAGTGATGAAGCTATTAAACTACTGCTTTGAATCACCAGTCCAAAATCTGTAGGAAGAAGCATGTTAAGTCTGTGGTAGCAAAAAAAATATCTGTTAATCCATCTTTTTAACACATTTAATTAAAAGGTATCTGTTTCTGTAAATTGCAACTCACTTTATCAGAAATGAGACTCATGAAAAATCTTGTCTTTTAGTAAAATGTGTCTGTTCAAAAATAAAACTGGGCTGTAATTCTGGGATCGAAGCTTACAAGAATAATATTCCAGATTCACACCAATATTTTTTTTATTTCTTTTAAAAAGTAAGTTCAAGTATGAGAAACATATCTGACAAACAAAGACAGAAATTAAGTAGGTATTGGTATCCCAATACTTTATGTACTAAGTAGGATATGAAAAGTTCTTGAAGACACAGAAACTTTAGTGAAGACAAAGCTAGGATGGAAGGAGGAAATCAATAGTACACTAATTACCCTATTTTTACCACTGCAGTCCTAAGCTGACTCAGAGCTGAGTATATAGAAATCACATGGTATCTCTGCATGAGGAGAGAAAAGAGTTTTGCGAAAGGAAGCTAAAAGGAATGTGTTGTAAAAGAGGATCATGAAAGGAGGGATCTGTATGAAATTAAACTGACAAACAACAAAAATCTCAGTTCACTATTCCTTGCTATTTTCTGGACCCTGCAACCAGGAAAAGCAAAGCTGTTGCATCTAAAGTTAAAGATACCTCTCAAAATACGAATCAGTGGAAGAGTAAAATAACAGTTTTAAGATCAGATTACTTCAGTAACCTGTTAAAGAGGAATAGTGTCCATAAACTTTATTTGGTTATCCAAACAAATTAATGGAGCCCTGCTCTTATCTCTCCTACCATGTTGGAAACCGGGAGAAAAGAATTTAAAAGCAGAAGTAGTGCAGCAAGAGGATATGGAAGGAATTCAAGAAATACAGTACTAAGGAAGAAATAAAAAGACTATTAGGAGACCAGAGCGGAAAGGATTACCCCTCAACATGCCCTAAAACACACTGCCAATCAATTCTACAACAGGTTAGATGAACCCCAACCTACCCCCAAAACAAAAACGTGGCATTATAATGTAAAACATTATGCATTTTACACAGATTTTGAGGCTGTGATGGGACTATGTCGGGAGGTAAAATACCACTTAACAATATTTTGCAAAATAGGTGCACTTAATGTTTTAAGATAGATTTACTCACAGGCAGTGTTGTAGATCAAGGGGAAGACTAGTGTTGAAATGCATCCCACTAAGCAAAGCTAGCACTCCTTAACTTTGAAACCCTGACAATGAATAGAGGAATGTTTGCTTTAAAAACAGAAAATACAATTTCAGCCTAGCCATGAATTTGCATTCAGTTTCTTTTTCCTGTGTGGTGCTAAATCAAAGACTTTTATTTTTTGATTATTTCCTATTTCAATAAGAATTACTATCGTTATTTTATTACAATAGAAATTCACTATTATACAAGTTAGGAAATGGTGTGTACTTCAACTGTTACTCCATGTTTTACATAGTATTTGTGATTTTATCTTTATAATTTTTAGATAACAATTTTCTTTAGAATTTTGACTGTGATTTTTTATTTTTTATTTATTCAAACCATGTCTTCTTACACTCTTCTAAGATTTTATTTTATTCTGAAATTTTCTCTTAAGTTGTTATCTGTAATTTGAAAAGTTCTACCTTAAGGATGTTGCCCTAGTAAAATAATAATATTCATTTTGACTTTATAATCAGTGAGAGAATCAATATTTCTCACAAACTGGGGTCAGGGAAAAGATGTGAGTTGCCTGTTGGAAGACAGGGTGTCCCAGGGCCTACCAAGCTACTATCCCAAAGCAGAAGAGGCTCACAATCTGAAGACCAGAAGGCTTTTGTGACCCTACTGAGACAGCTATCCACTACAAAATTCAATAAATAGATGTAGAAATGCAATATAGTTGAATAGATAGTTTGATAAATCACATAAAGGATACTGTATCTTTGTTTGCATTTCCCTCTTTTGTGTTGGCTTGTTTTGCTATGTTTAGTAAATTAAGCATGTTTTGTTATAGTAATCATGATTTTTTTTTCATCCAACATTTTTAATCCATAGGGTTAGCATCCCATTTTATTTCTACAGAGAATATTTTTCTCTATAAATTCAGGTAGCTCTTTCTGAATTCCCTTTTTTCTTTTTCTACTACTGGTGGTCCTTGGCTTACAACCAGTTACTTAAACACCATTCATAGTTAGGAGAGATTTTGAAAAAGCTACTTGCAACCAGTCCTCAAAGTTAAGACTGCTATATATCCCTCCTGTTTCCATGGTTACATGATTGCATTTCAGGCACTAGGCAATCGGCTCACATTTACAACCAGTTGTAGCATCCCATGGTCATGTGACTGATTTGCTATTTTTTTGTCATTATCTAGCACAAAACGACAAAAAACGGCTGTTAGATATGTTGGAATTAGTTAATGACCACATGGTTCGCTTAACAATCAGTTGCTGCAAAATGGGATTTATTTGGTCTGCTATGACAGAAAAAGCCAATGTAGTGGTTAAGGTGTTGAATAAGAATTGGGAGGACCAGATTCTGGTCTATCCTCAGTCATAGAAGTTCACTGGGCTGTTTTGGGTGAGTGATGCCTCTCAGTTGCCTTATCAGATAGCTGTTATGGTAGAAAAGTAGGAAGTGTTGACTTGAGCTAGTAAATGAAAGTCAGAACATGAATGAAACAAATATATTTGTCTACTTTATTTTGTGTGTTAATACATATAACTTAACATCTCACAGCTACCCAGCCAAATAAATATACATTGTTATTTTCTTTATTATTAGTTCTTTTCCTGATAGCATTTTATGAGGGAGGGTATTCTCTCATTTCTTCAGAGGACTTTCTGATTATGGACAATTAACAATTTTTATTTGGTAATATTGTATGAACAGGTCATACAGATAATAAGTTATTTATCTTTTTAAAGAAATTTAATAAAACTGGTTTTTTCCTTATAGAATGGCCGCCACACAAAATACTAGTAGTTATTTTTTTCTTTTAACAGCGATTGTCTTTTTATCCTGTTTGGCTGCCTCCTTTAACCCTTCTCTCCCCCACCCAACTTCCTTCCTCCTGCCTGCCTTATAAACCAGTATTATTATCCATTGAATCCACTGAATAGAGCAATGGTTTTACAGCTGTTATTTTAACTAGACTTGATTTAAAAATAGACTTATTTATTTGCTCCCAAGACTAGTATATTGTTTGAACTAAATACAGACCCCAACCTGAAA